TGCTCAAAACATAGGAGAAGCCATGTTGTGGCCACCACATCCCTTACTAAGCCCTTAGAAACTTCTTTAACAATGTCACTGTTATGGGTCACCAGCTTATCCCTGAGTATTCAACGCTGAGGATGTTGGCCAAGGACATGGCACCACCTCAGCAGCTCTGAGGGACAGCCATTGAACCCCTAGATGAGAGCACTGTTGCCTCTGCAGCCATTCTTACTGGTAATCCTCAGCCTGCTCAAGTGGCAGGAGGCTCAGATCCATGCTGGGATTACTCTACATGAATGCTCAAATGGGAAGCTGGAGGCTAAAGGGGATCCAACTCTGAGGAGAATTACACCCAGGAGGGGAGTAAACCGTTCAAAAGGGCTGACAACAGCAGGACTAGGGGAAATGGATCCAAGTTGAAGGAGGGAAGATTGAGGTTGGATGTTAGGGGGAAGTTCTTTACAAGGAGAGTGGTTAGGCCCTGGAACGGGCTGCCCAGGGAGGTTGTGGATGCCCCGTCCTTGGACGTGTTCAAGGCCAGGTTGGACGGGGTCCTGGGCAACCTGATCTGAATGTGGATGTTTGGTGGCCCTGCTAGGCAGGGGGGTTGGAACTACATGACCCTTGAGGTCCCTTCCTACCCGGGTGATTCTGTGATTCTGTGTGATTCTGTGTGAGAATTAGCATTCCAAGCCCATCTTGTGGCTATGGTGGTTCATTTCATCTCAAAGGTGCTCATGCAGGTCAAAAGGAGGCCCCAAAGTGCCCTTTTTATTAATTTAACATTAGTGGGCAGAAATCTGCAGGAGATGACAGTGCTGGAGGGATGAGGAGATGTTGCAGGAACCTTGGGAAACCTGGGCCCACTCCACTCCCTATTGCTGCTCTCCAATTATATACACTGTTCCAGTGTCGCCATACTGATTTGCTTTTGGCCTCACAACAATTCCAGCATCCCTACCTTGCCTACCTGTGTTGGTGTACACCACTTGAGTGCCATTAGCACAGTTGCAAAGCAGCCTTGGCTCTCAAGCCTCACTGTACTAGCAAAACCTCAAAGCCAAAGCCAATGTTGGTGTGGAAGCATGCAGGATGATTTTTGGCTCATCCAACCTTGCATAGGCTTTTTTTTTTTTTTTTTTTTTTTGGATTTTTAGCTATGCACCAAACAAGTCTCAGGGAAAACAGAGAAGTTCCCCAAAGTTTATCCAAAGGAGCTATAAGAAACCCATCCCTAGAGACAGTCAAGGTCAGGCTGGACATGGCTCTGAGCACCTGATGGAGCTGTAGGTATCCCTGTTCATTGCAGGGGAGTTGGACCAGATGATCTTTAAAGGTCCTTTCCAACTCAAATGGCTCTATGATTCTATAATGTGCAATCTGCTCTTTGTGCAATGGGCAATGGGCTCTTTGTTGAGGGAAAGCCATCCAAAATCATATCTTCCTCCTGCTTTGCCCATAATCTTACATTTTTTATTATTCTTGTTGTTATCATTTTTCCCAGATTGCAGAGATTTTTTTGAAGTTAATGGAGACTCAAAAAGAAATAAGAAACCAACCCCAAGATCCCTGCGCTGTGATGACTTTGAGATAAAGCGAGTTGGAGGTGGTTACTCTCCTCCTTGGCTTTGCCCAGTGAACATGAGGGTAACCTTGCACAAAATCTTCACACATTTGCCCAAGGAGGTTGTGGATGCCCCATCCCTGCAGGCATTCAAGGCCAGGCTGGATGTGGCTCTGGGCAGCCTGGTCTGCTGGTTGGCAACCTTGCAGATAGCAGGGGGTTGGAACTGGATGAGCTCTGTGGTCCTTCTCAACACAAGCCATTCTATGATTCTATGAACATTTTGCTTTGCCCCTGTCTCAGAGTTAACAAAATACATAATTTGAATGGAGTTCAGTGAACCAAGCCAACAAATTAGGTTCTGCAGAGCCACCTGGTGTCCGTCAAAAAGCCTTCTGGAAGAACACAGCAAGTTCGGAGGCAGGGAGTCTGAATAAAATATACACAATTTATTTATAGGAGGTTTACAGCTGTACAACGTTGGCCTTCAGTTCTGACCGCTCGCCGATCTTGTGCAGCGGGACACATCGGTGCCTTCGGAGATGAAGACAACTCATAGCCTGGTTTAACACCACCACATTAAAAAAAGGGGATTTCATGGAGTGTAGTGACAGGCTACTTGCAACCGATGCAGTGATTAATAAAAGAAACAGAAAATTAATCAGAGACACCCCACACCACTTAGTTTAGTGGGCATGGTGGGGATTGGTTGACGGTTGAGACTCGATGACCTTAAAGGTCTTTTCCAACTTTCATGATTCCACTATTCTATGATCTATGGTGGTGGGAAGGGGAATGGAAAGTCCTCATCAGGTTTGCCCCTCCCCTCAGATAAAAAAACAACTGGAATACATCCATTTACTCTATTCAAAGAGAAAAGGCATTGACACGAACAGCGGCATTTCTATAACTACCTTCCTCAACCCACTCTACAAACAAGACCAAAAAAAAAAAAGAAGTTAGAAAAAGGAAATTTTCCTTCATCCCTTGGAAATGAAGGGGGAAAGAAAGCTTTTGCTCTAAGTTTTCGACAAGAAAACGAAATAAAAAGAACAGAATTATTATCAATATTAAGACATTTTGGTCCTGATATGGTATAACAATTGTTATTTTCAAGAAGGTATCGAAAGCTGCCTTTCATTATGGCTTGATTCTCTGTAGGAAGGAGGGAGGCTGGCCATGGGTATCAGGGCATTACTGCTCCCCAGCAAGCTTCAGTGCCACTTCTTGGGGATCACAGCACGGTTTGGCAGGGGTCAGGGCACCTGGGCCAGGTGGCTGTGGTCTATTGAAGCTATGGGCAGCCTGATTTCCTGAGAAAACATGGCTCATGCAAGCACACCAGCTTCCTCCATCTGGTGCTGATGGTGCAAAATGCCTGTGGTGCTCCTGTGGTGTTCTCCTTCAGCTGAATGGCTCTTCTCCCTCCAAAGCATTCCTAGGCGTCCCTTTCATCTGTCACTCCTAAGACTTAAATCACAACTTTTGGCCCCAAAGTCCTTCTCCCACTTATTTTCATTGATGAATCTTGTGCCCAAAATCAGGATCTAATCAAAGGAACTCTGAACTGTGCTGGGCAAAGTGAAGAGTTTGCTTCAATTTTGGGCTCAAAACTTCCCTTTATCAAAGCAGCAGCATCTGAGCTCATTCTGCACAGTGCCACTCTCATTCGGGTGATGGCAACAAGATTTGGAAGGTGTTCTGCACAACAGGAATAAGTGGGACCCAAAAAAGCATCTTGTGGGTCACTGCCTGCTGCTAAGCCCTGGAAAACAAGACCTAAGAAAAATGAGCAATTTGGTCGAAAGTCCAGTGCTGACCCACAACGGCTTAACAACTGAAGATGTGGAAGGAAGAACAGCCTGCAAAAGCAGGTGAAGTTATCCTTAGGGACATGGTTTAGTGGGGAAATATTGGTGGTAGGTGGACAGTTTGAATTTAAAAAAAAAAGTTCTTTACGGGAAGCATTGCATCATGTGTGCTCCATTCTCCTAGCAAGGAGCTGACTGCAGAGGATCTGCTGGTATAGTTTATATGAAGCCAGAGTCTGCCACCCAGTGGAATAAGGAAGAGAAACTCAGGATTACAGCAAACGGGAGCATGGTCTTACACACTTCAGGACTGTGCTCTGTACCTTTGTACCAAGATGTGTTTAGGCTGTGCTTGTGGACTGGCTTTAGCTCTGTGCAACCCATCAATAAACTGGAAACTGAATGTGGCAGATGAATGTTAGAATGAACTGAGCATTCATTGAGTGCTCCCCTCCTTTAACATGAGCTCAAGTTCCACAGCGTTTGGGAAAGTGAGGCACTGAAAATGATGCTTTAGAAATCAGTATGCAGCAGTGAAGGCGATGTCCACTGAACAAAGCTCCTCATGTGTGGGAACTGATGCTCCTCATCCATGAGATCTGATGCTCTGGCCTTCAGAGGAACTGTTCTTCTCTTACCCCAACACTGAATACACTCAGGAGACAACTCAGGTATGGGGTTACAACTCTGCAAAAGGTAAAATTCAGGCTCTATGGACGACAGAAAAAAAGCAGTAGAGACAGCAGGCACAATGGCAGTTTGAGAGGCACAGGCAGGAATCGAGGCCAGACCAACTCAAAAACATAGCCCTGCAGAACAGTTGACTAACCAGAGCTGTTGGCATTTTTGCATCCTTCAGAATAGGCAGCTGAACACCAGGAAGCACTGCTGTGCCACACGGGTGATGGAGTCCCCACACAAGCTGCTCGAAGAGGTTGTGAGTTCTCCTCCTTGGAGATCTCCAAAAGCAACCTGGATGTGGTTGCTTGGCACCCTGCTCTGGGTGTCTCTGCTGGGACAGGGTTGGAATAGATGGACCAGACTTCCAGCCTCAGCCATTCTGTGATTCCGTGATTCAGGACAGTGAACAGGGACTGAACAGGACCTGGAATGAGACAGCAGGTCCCTACAGTGATGGAGCCACTAGTCTTGCTGACCTTGTGGATTCGGGATTGTGTGACTTGCTCTAGTACATTTCCCATTCAGTTGCTGTGTGCATATCAATAAAACACCCCAAGAGCCCCAATTTCTTTTTCCCCTTCTGCTTTGCTGACGTGCCTCCTTGGATAAGCAATTAAATGCCAGTTCATGGGCAGAAGACTCCTCGTGCACTACTCTAAAACCAAGCAGACACATTGAAGATGCACTGAAGCAGCTGGTGGGACCATGGTGGCCACACGTGTGCGTGGTGACACGTGTGTCCCAAGCCTCGTGTAAACATACAGCACCTGGACATCGTGCTTTGGCTGTCAGGACACACAGCGTGCCAGCAGCAATCCCACGGGGTGCACGGTGGTGATGGGGCTGCAGAGGATGCCAGTAGAAGGATCGTTGTGGTTCCCCAACAAGGCACCATTTTTTAACATGGAAAACACAAGATTGGCTCCTTTGAGTGGAATGCATGCATAGTTCTCCTACACTTGCAGGTGGTAGATAGGCTGTGTGTATATATATATGTGTGTGTATGTATATATGCATATATATACATATGTGGCACTAGAGGAGAGTCCTTGAGTACTCAGACGTTGGTGAGGATGTTACTGCTGAGCATCCTCACAGCAATGGTTCCAGGCAGATCATTTGATTTTCTGTTCCCTCTGTCCTGGAGGTGCAGTGTGTGCACGGTCTGCTGGTCGCTGGGATCTCCCTTGAGTGCCACTTGACCCAAGAACTCATCGCTTATCAAGTTGTGGTTCCAGATCTGAAGAAACAAAACAAAGGCAGATCCTTAAGGGATCCAACCAATCTCTCCCACTTTGCTTTGCCTGGTGCAGCCTCACCTCAAGCCCCCAGATCACTGATACCTGAACAATGATGGGTTTTCCTGGCTTCTTGCGGTAGAAGAGGCCTTTCACATCAAACTCTGGTGACACTGTGTCTTTCTTCACTGCAGAACGAACCTTTTGCCCTTCGCACTTTATTATCACATATGGGTCAGCTCCTGGGGAGATAAAAAGTATATTATCCTTATTTTGTGTGTCCTGTAATTTCTCAGAGCCCTTTCCCAGGGGCTGCATGCAGCAGTTTTCCTCCAAGCCCCACCAGAAGAGATGGATATCTGCCAAGAAGTGCATCACACTCCAGATGATGTCCACGAGGCTCTGCTGATGGGCTGGGGCTTACCCTGTTAGGTGACATGGCATCCAGAAAGGAGTTGGTGATGGAAAGCTATGAAATGGCCACCTCTTCCCTGACTTCATATTCTATTTAAGCCCTCCTTCATCACTCTAAATTCTCCTTGCCTTTGGGCATGGAAGACAGCGATGTGCTCACCTCTCCCTTACAGGATTTACTGAAAGTAGATGAAAATAAAGCCATGGAGAAGAGATCTGGACTCACAGAGGTTGTTTCATGTAAGGAAACACCAAGAAGAACAGACAGAGCCTGCAAAAACACACTTGCTTCCACTATACTTACACACTCTAGAACTGGGCTTGGTTTTACTTTAAGGTCAGAACCAACTAACTCAGTGTGATAATATGTTTTCACCTCTATTCATAAATCTTTGGCACATCTTCTATTTCTCCTAGACTGAATGAGACTCAAATGCTGCAGAGATTTTATGTATAAGGGCTACTGCTGGGTTAAGAAAAAATGCTGGGCTATCAAGGTGATGAGAGACAACACGAAGCTGAGCCAAAATTAAGTGCCAAGTTGTGCTGAGGTAGAAGATCCACAAAGGGTCTGGGAACTGGGAATATTTAGTCAGAAACTAGTGGCAGAACAGAGAACCTGAGAATGGAATTATATTTAAAAATACTTATAAAAGATGATGATGGTAATTAAAGCATTTGCTGTGAGCAAGATTTCAGGGAAAAGACAGAAATGCCACAAAAGAAAAGGATCATCTGTAGTAGCAAGAGACAAAGGGAAGAGAAAGATGGAGCACTGAGGGGCAAAGAGGTAAAATGGGTGGGATCCAGAAGGGATTGAAGCAGGCAAAGCTGGTGAGTGGGAAGCCAGAAGGTCAGTAGGAAAGGAAGGTTATAGCAATATCCCATCTGGAACAAGATAATCGTGGGAACAAGCAGGCAAAAATGATGGGAGAGGTAATTACCAAATCCAAAGACTATGAACTCATAGCTGGATGGTACCTGAGCTTCTAGGACAGAGAAAATGTCCCTCATTAGACATCACTTTTCCCTTATGAAACAAGTGCAGGTTCTGGGAATTTCAGTAGAGAATAAGATACTGCTTTGGAAATGTAATTGTCAGATGCATTTTCCAACCATGGATTTTAGTGTCTATGATGGAAACACAGACCAAGTGCGCTTTTTTGTCCAAGGGGAGCATGGGAATGAGGAGAAATGAACCACCTCCTCCTGAGAGCCAGGATTTAAGATCACCTTTTTGTTTGCCAGACCACCTCCTCTCTAGCTTGTTGTGTGCAAGGATCCGGATCCCCCAGCAAAACACAGCTGCATCATTTCACAGCTGTTTTTCCAAACCAATCTCTTCTTTTGGGATGTCTCATAAAATCTTCATGTTCCATAGCGGGAGCCAAATTCCAGTTCGTAAATCACTGTTTCTGAAATGGTGTGGAGGAACTAGGCTGGGAGATACGAGAGATACCATTGCACTGGAAACCATTGAATAAGCAGGCTGGTGGTGGTGGGAGCTGAACAGCTGGAACACAGCTGGGAAAAGCCATTCCCAGGGAGATCTTGCTGAAAAAAAATATTTTATGGCTCCAGAATCCACATACACCCATGGAAGAAAATGTTTTTGTGAACGGTTCAGAAACTTTTGGCTACTTTGCTGCATTACTACAGGCACACTGAGTATTGTGAGTAACCTGAGGAAAAAAACCAACCTACTTAGGACAAAACTCTCACTCTGAGCTCCAGTCATGATAAGAAGACTCCCTTTATGGTAGGTGATAAATAAGATGAAGACTACACCACAACATCGACCATTGCTTATCTGTCCTCCCATCTGAAAGGCCTTTGAATATGATTCCTAAATTTTACAGCTGCTCATACTTAGGAGGAAAGCCTGGAAGAGTACAAGACCTCTGCCAAAGGCTCTGGGGAGGTTTTGGGAGGATCTCCCAAGAATTATTGCCGATAGCTTAAATATAACAGCACATCATTTGCCCAGCAAGATTTTCCATGGACTTTCTCCTCCTCTGGTGCTTGAACCAGATACTTCCATTGAAAAACTATCTGAGGACACAAGAATTCCCAGCAAGCCCTCACTTCATGAGACCACCTCTCTCTTCTCCCTCTGAAACAACCAACTCCCCGTCCCTCTGCGACTGCACAGTGGGCAGAAAAGGCCATTACCTCCTTGGGAGTCCTGATTCTTGAGGCCAGCTGCGGCGAGGACGTGGACCTGGGACACCACTTGAGGGTACCCGCACATCCCACTCCAGCAGGTGTGTGGTGGCTCATCCAGTGTCAGCTCTCTATTGGGGAGAAATGTGTAATATTTGGGATGTGCCCAGCCTTACCCGACGGGCAGGCCAATGAGTTTTCTCTAGTAGGATGGAAAGCCTATGCACCATCCACTGGCAGACTCTGCTCCCCACTCTGATCTCCTTCTCACTCAAGGGTTGAGATGCTCTCCCATGTCATGCTTATAAGCAAAGTGAGAACTTCTCCATATGTCTTTGTCTCTTGGACACCTTTAAAAGGAAGCCAGACACCAGCTTTGGACAAGTCTATGGCCAATTCCAGTCAGGGCTACCATGTAAAAAAAGCAGAAAGCCCTCTCCAAAAAGTCAGTTCCTCCTCACCATCACTGCTCTTGTTTCTTACCGGCAATCTGAAGGCACATCTGTGAAAATCCTGAGAAGAAACTCGCCTACATGACCAGGGTCAAAAGTGGTGGGAATGATGACATAGCGGCCTTCCTTCAGGTCTGTCCTCAGGAAGACGCTGCGGGAGTTGATGTAAATGGAGCTGGCCACCTTCTGCTGCAGGGTGTGCATCCGGTAGTTCCTGTTCAGCTCCACCTGGGGAGAGAGCACAGAAGGACAGTCAGCAGGACATCACTGAGGAATTGTATCAGTTACCAGATCAGGGGACAGCCAGCAAGAATTGACTCCACAGTGATGGGACAGCTGGAATTAGGAGAACCAGCAAGGCGGTCCCAAATAAAATTTGAGGTGCCTCTCAAAGCTCTCTTGGCTCATAAACTCATCCTCTGTTGCACTCCAGCTTGACAGTGGTTCACCACCACGAAACACGTGATCAAACTAGCGTACTTCAGCATTCAGAGGAGACAAGCAAACCACTGCTTTCACCTAGGAAATCCTGTCTATGCTGACCCTATTCATTTCTGAAATCTCTCACCATTGCTACAGGATGTGCTGAATACACCCATGGGGCACACAGAGTAACAACTAAACACATCATGCCAATGGTCAAGCAATGCTAGGATAGTGCAGCACTAAGGAACTTCCTGAGGGGATGCAGGCTAGCATGCAGGACCCACAGTTTACCTTATGGATATCAAAGCCTATGGCTAAGTTCTCTCCTTTGCCCTCTTTGCGACTGGTCCTTTTTGGCTTCTGCTGGATGGAGATCAGCACTTCATCTTCTGCCTTCTTCACATCAAATACATACTGGAAGCAAACAGAGGAAGATGAGGAAGACAGGAGCATTGGGCATGAATGGGGGCAAACCCATCTTTGAATTCTTCTGCAGAATCCAAGGAGTCTAGATGCTTGTACCAGAGCACTTCACCCCTTGCAGTCTGCCACACGTCCTTCTATAGAGGACTTATTCACAAAGACCTAACAGTGAAGTTAATACAAAGCAGGGAGCACAAAACAACTCTCCCACATCCCTGATGACGGCTCCTACAATGGAATGGACCATCCTTTATGTGCTTATTGGATGAAGGACTTAAAAGAGCTTGTCCCATGTTACTGAGAATCTTAGTTCAGAAGGGGACAGAGGAGATTGTTTCTAGAGGAAAACCATACAGCAGGGCCTTTTCTGAAAGCCCAGAAAAGCTAGAAGGAAATGGCCCTATAGCCAATAGATGGAAATGCTTCCTAGCCTTGACTGGCACCAATTAATACCCCTTCCCTGTGGCACAATTTGATGTTTGGATGTTTGTTTGTGCCAAGCTGCTCCACCTGGATGCCTATTAGGAAGGGTAATGTTAAGAGAGTTGGCCTGGATGCTGGTCACACTCTGCCCAGGGTTCTCAGTTCAATAAAGGTCACGAGCACATCAAAAAGATGAGCACAGAGCTCTGATGGTTGTTTTGCCCTTTTAAGTCCCTGTAGGAGACTGGAATCCTTGGAAGCAAGTGTGAAGGCTTCTGAATATCTTCTGCTAAATGACTCACTTGGGGATTCTGCAAAAAGGTGTCCTTGTGGTTGATACAGCCTCCACTGCGGTTCTTCAAGGGATCATCACTTCTGGTCCATGCCCCGTGTAGCACTGCCTCCTCCCAGGTCTTATGGATGCTGAGGTAGGATGTGTTGATGAGACGGCACTTGATGATGTCTGTGAAGTATCTACAGAAATCTTCAAAGGTCATCCTAAGTTAGAAAGGACAGAGCTGGGTTATGCTGCTTTGTTTTCCTGAGCAGCATGGTGCAGGGAGATACTCATAGAGACTGTGGATAGCCGCTGATACCAACAAAAGAGGTGGAGATACCCTTCTCCATGCACACAGCAAATAGTTCATTTTTTCAAACAAAATGGTGGTATGTGTTGGAGTGATAGAAGCAAAGCAATTGCTCCTCCTGCATGTATGGGCATGTGTGGTACTGATCTATGTACCTGGTGAGTTGGTTATGCTCAACACACTTCCAACAGGTTTCTAGTGCCCTAGTGAAATGGTTTGGAACCAGTGTGATACTGCGCAGCTTGCAATCCTAGGGTCATGACCAGCCAAAGCTAATATCCATGGGCAAAAGGAGATGCAACTGAAAATCCTATAGCTTGAAAGGCCATTTGCTCTGGTTAGCCACTTGAATGGTAATGACTGAGATGCTACAAGAGATGGGAGGACTGTGAACACTGTCCATGGTTGCAGCCTCAGGAAGGACTCACCAGAATTCACCATCATCTTCTACTGTCATCCCCATCTTCTCTCTTTCACTTTTGCTCACTTTCTGCCACTCTTCAGAACTGTGGGAAGAGTGCAGAATCATCACTGTGAGGGCAAGGGGACATCAGCCCTTGGTTTTCCATCCCATCCCATCCCATCCCATCCCATCCCATCCCATCCCATCCCATCCCATCCTATCCCATCCCATCCTATCCACAGATGTCATGGCAGTGGTACAGGCTGACTCTTTTGGGTGTTATTTTGGCTGAAGTAAGACTGGGAGTAGAGAGATGAGCTACAGCCATCCTTCACAAGAGTGAAATGCTGATGATTTCACCACAACATCCACCAGAACCTCAATAACATCTGCAAGCTCATATACCCTCCTGCTGTGTCCTTCCAGGACCAAAAATACATCTACCCAAATGAAACAGTAAGTTTAGGAAACTGTTTGAAGCAGCATTCCACAACTGCTTATGTGTTATCATATGGGTGTAGATATAACCTCAGGGCTTGCTCTAGGCAACATTTTCCACCAAAAAAAAGTGCTACTGCTGCTTTTCCCACTCACGTGTCACTCCAAGGGCCATTCCACTCTCGTTCACCCCATGGGTTGCGCATGCGGATCATGTCCAGCTTCTCTGACTTGAAGAAAGACAGCAGGCCATGGCCCAGACGGACCTTTCTCACGTCAGTCACGGCGTATGCATGGCCCTTCACCAGCCCACAGGCCAGGCGGGCCTCCATGTCTGCTGCTGACGTAGCCTGGACAGGAGGACACAAGAAGAAGAGCACCAGTGCTCAGGGACAGAGAAAGCTGCCTCATCAGGAGTATGTGACCTTGTATTAGGTACTAGATTCATTCCAGTCTTCACCAGTTGCAAGAGGTCTCTGAGCTCCCATGATGTCCCATAAGCAATAATGCTCATCCTATTGGTTATAATGGAAGATTTGAAATGCAGTGTTCATGAAGATGTTCACATACAGATATGAAAATGTTTTTTGTTTTTTTTTCCTGAAGTAAATACTCTGATAGTATTCAAAGGCCAGTAGGATGAATCTGCACTCTTGGACATAGCAATGAGTAATAAGGAGGGTTGGGCTGAACTCCAGGATTGAGTTCACAGAATCACAGAATCATTAAGGTTGAAAAAGGCTTATAAGACTGTATAGTCAAACCATCAACCCATCACCACCATGCGCACTAAACTACATCCCTGTGCAAGTTCTTTTGACATTTATATGAAAATGTATGAACCCTTGGCCACAGTTCACTTGATCTAATTTAGATGCCTCCAATAGGCTTGGATAAACAGCATCCTAAAATGTCTACTCCCATAAAACCATGATCATGCAGGCAACGTTGCTTACTTTGATGGAGCAGCTGATGAGGCCTCCACGGTTGTGCACTTTCAACACACGCTCAAAGAGCAGGTTTCGTTTGGCTTCATCGGTGGTGTAGTCCCCTTCAGTCAGGTCAATAGGTTCAGAGACTCCACCAGTAAAGTCTACCAGAGCATCAGCTGTGTTGCCTCCATCCAGGGCCTCGTAGCACCCTGACAACCTAAAAGAGGGTGATAGGGATGGCACAATAGTACTGACATTTTAAGAGCTCTCAGACACTTCTTGAGATGGCACAGAGAAGGCAATATTTCAGTGGACAGCAAAAAGAGGGTGAAAAAATCAGATCTGTGCTGTTTACAAGTACTCCTGAAACCCCTGAGATAGGTATTATTTAAATCTAAGTGGAATTGAAGGATATGTTGTTTTGAGGGTAAACTGAGGCAAAGCTTTTTCTTCCAATTCCTTTGTATCTGAGATACATCTTACTCCTCCCCAAGAAAGCTGTTGTTTTGACCAAAATATCTGAGGCTAAAGCAACCTCCAGCTGGAAGTTACAATTCTTGAGTAGACCTTATACCCAGAGGAGAAAAAGAATGATGTTTGGTGTGGGGACCCTGACCACAAATATGCCCCAATAACCTTTGGTCTACTTCCGACCTATAAAACTGTTGCATCCTCAAGAAGAAAAGACCTCAGCTCACATGGAGATTCACACTACCTCCCTGTTGCAGTTCTACCTCTGATAGTTCTTTAAGCCAAATTCAGAAATAACCATCACCAGCTTCTACACGGCATCAGACATTTGTGGAGCCTGCAGCATTCTGTTACTACAAATATTTTCCACAGGCATAAGCCAACTGATGAATGAACAGAGATGAAAATTGGGGTGTGCAGGTCCTCATTTGCTCTGCATCTGTTCAAGCACCTACTTGGCATAAGCCTTCTCCACCAAGGCACACCAGAACTCATTCTTGGAGTTGGAGTGGCAGTAGATGAGCTGGTTGTGAAGCGTGGGCAGGCGGTCATCTATTACAACATCCAGCCACTGACCAAAACGCCAGAATTGGAAGTGGAAGATCCCTGCATAGCTCTCAGGCTTCTCCGCATTCCACTCCTGCTCCTTCCAGTCTGGGATGACCTGAGTTCAACACAAGAAGGAGACAGAAAGGAGACATGCACTCAGGTTATACCCTTTTTTGCTAGGGTTAATTCTTACATCAGAACTAATGCAGACAATATCAGTGACGAGGAAGAACCTGAGGGAGGTGGATTTGCTCATTACAGCCCATTCACGACATATTCTGGGCTTGCCTCTTCCAAGGTAGACTAGATTTGCATGCACTGAAATAGCTCAGACTTCATCCTTCATTGGAGAATGTCTCTATAAATCTCTCACGGCTCTGTTTCTATTATGCCTTCCTTGACCTCATTCTCATAATTCTACCTGGGAAATCTGCTGACATCTACTGTTGTAGAAAGCTTATTGGAACAGAAGGGTCCTTGATCTGAACAGGGATGGCTATTCTTAGGATCAAAGTTTTAGAACTGAATAGATCACTCAGAAAGGATTTATAGAGTTCATCAAGTGCAACTGCCTGAGCACATCAGGGCTAACCAAAAGTTACTGTATGTTATTAAGGGCACTATGAAAATGCTTCTTGAACATTGACAAGCACATTCTCATTGATGGCTATTACTATGATTGAATTTTTGTGAACTTTTATGTCAGAAGGGTACTACTGGGATCCCTTTTTAAATCCTTTTGCTTGGTTCCTGTGTGATTGGACTGGTCTAAAAGTGAACGTTGTATTTGTTTACTGAGTGGTAATAAACAGGGACCATCACTCTGGGTATATCTGCTCTGCTAAAGTAGAAGAAAGTGAGATTCTCATCCCCATAGAGTCCCCTTTCATCCCTGCCAAGACCTGCCATAGTCATCCAGCAAGCACAGGAGGGAACGAAGGAAAAGAGTCTGAAGTGAAAGAAACTTTAGAGAAGTTAGGAAGTTGAGGCAGTGCAGGTTTGGAGTCACAGCCATTAGCACTCTCAGCAGGACAAGGCAAAAAGGGATGAGTCAGTAAAACAGTAAATAAAAAGTTCATATCCTTCATGCTTGTGGGCACCATCCGATATTTAACTGCTTCCAAAGCATTGTGACCTAAGAGAGGAGATGCTCCAGTGAGCCCATGGGGAAAATTATTAGCATTATGTTTCAGTACACCTGATAGGACAAGAGGTAATGGCTTTAAGTTGCACCAGGTTCAGGTTGGATATTAGGAGAAATTTCTTCTCTGGAAGAGTGGCAATGCATTGGGACAGGCTGCCCAGGCAGGTGGTGAAGTCACCATCCCTGTTCAAGAACTGTGGAGATGTGGCACTGAGGGATGTGGTCAGTGGGCACGGTGCGGAAGGGTTGGTGGCTGGACTTGGGGATCTGGAAGGTCTTTTCCAAACTTAATGATTCATTGCCTGTCCTGCAAAGACAAACAGTAAGTAATGGGTTGGGACAGGACAAGACACAGTTATATTGCTTGGAAAGAGGCTCTTCAGGAAGCCCCAGGTCTTGGTGAGACCCCCATATGAGACCGTGGCCCTTTTCCTGCTGCTGAAACTTTGTGCTTTCATATGGTTGCCACCACAAAGCTGTAACAGTCTCCCTGATCCAGCCCAGGACTCTTATTGTTCCTTACAATTAAAGACAGTTGAAATATTAATGATGCCATCAGCCCTGTGAGCTCACTGGCACTCTGAGTTGTCCAGATCAATAGAGGCAGAACAGACAGAGCCATGAGAAGAGCCACTTCAGGAGGGTTTGATGTTTTCCAGGAGTGCTAATGAAAGATGCCCCAGATTCCCTCTGGGTCACTGCCATGGAAGGTCAGACTGTCAGTCCCCATCGATTCCCTCCTGACTGGCACTCATGCTAATGAATTGTCATAGAGGACCATTGTGCTAATCAACTCACTATTAATGTGAGCTTAAAAATGACTAAGGTATTGATTAGAGACAGCGACTCAGCTTCCAGCTGGCTGGTTTTGAGATCTAGCACTACCACTAATGGTGGCAGGATATACTGGTCCTCAACCATTCTCTTCTGTCCCTTCATCTGGGTATGGCAACAAAATTATCCTCAGCTACTGAAGGCAGCAACTTCACATACACAGCAGAATCTATGATCAGGGGCTGGTTTTTTTCCAACAGTGTTCCAAGGGGCAAGGAGTCAGATCTCTTCTCAGAAAAGGTTCTGCCCTAGAGGGCGATGGAAATGGATAAGCTTCCAAAGGGCAGTGGGCACACACTTGAGATGATGGAGCTCAGTAAGCGCTTGGACATGGCTCTCAGACACAGAGTCTGGATTTTGGGTGGTGCTGTGTGGAGCCAGGGGTTGGACTTGATGATCCTTGTGAGCACCTTCCAGCTCAGGATATCCTATGACTCTATGATCTCCAGAGCCCAGCCTCTGCTCAACCTGGCAAACAGTGAGGTGTGAGTTCAAGCATGAGGCTCCTCTTCCCATAGAACTCTCCATGAACTCTCAATTCTTGGCTGACAATGAGCCAGCAGTGTGCCAAGGTGGCCAAGAGAGCCAACAGCATCCTGGCTTGCACCAGCAATAGTGCAGCCAGCAGGAGCAGGAGCTGATTGCCCCCCTGTGCTCAGCTCCGGCATGGCTGCACCTCAAGTGCTGTGTTCAATTCTGTGCCTTTCACTGCAAGAAAGACATCAAGGCCCTGGAGTGTGTCCAGAGAAGGGCAACAGAGCTGTGAAGGGTCTGGAGCACTTTATGGGTCTTATGGGGAGCTGGGATTGTTCAGTCTGGAGAAGAGGAGGCTCAGGGGTGACCTTACCGCCTTCTACAACTGCCTGTAAGGAGGCTGCAGTGAAGTGGGTGTCAGCCTCTGTTCCCAAGTAACAGTGATAGGATGAGATGCAATGGCCTCAAGTTGTGCCAGAGGGGAGATTCAGGTTGGATGTTAGGAAAAACATCTCCAAATGAATGGCCAAGCACTAGCACAAGCTGCCCAGGGAGGTGGTTGAGTCACCATCCCTGGACGTGTTCAAGAACCATGTAGATGTGGTACTCAGGAACATGATTTAGTGGGCAATATTGGTGGTAGGTGGACAGTTGGACTAGATGACCTGAGAGGCCTTTTCCAACCTCAATGATTCCATGATTCTATGATATGGTCATTTTCTGAGGGCATAAGAAAGGTATAAGAAGGACAGTGGTGCCCCTGGGCCAGAGAGGGGCCATCTCCTACACCCACTGGCACAACAGGAGAGAGGTGGCAGTTCCAGGTGCCTGTTGAGATGCTGGTCCCAGCACAGTCACTCTTCAAGGCACACATGACAACACTACCTGTGACCTTATCCTGCATATTCCCTAAGGGATTAAGCAGGAGATAGTGATATAAATGAGATCCACAGCTCTAACCCACCCCCAAGAACCCTCCTCAGATATCTCACCTCTCTTCAGTGGTTACCGGAGAATGTGCCCTTAACCACTCATCTTGGGATTCTGCTGGGTCCTGGACTCACCTTGGTTGCATTGAGGCAGTGCAAATGACATTTCCCTAAGCTGAGGCAGACCTTTTCTTACTCCAGAGTGGCTAATTAACAGAAAATGCACCTATGACTCTGGAGAAACATCCCTGACTTGAAGGAGGGATGGGTGGGTGCTGATTCCTCCAAGCAGGAGATATTCTGTTGGGAACTTGCCAGCTGAGGACAGGGAGGAGGGAAACCTGCTGTGTCAATCTGCTGAACGAACCAGGACTGAACTTGTCTAGGAGATGGGATGGAGTGGTGTATCTGAAAGCCTTTACAGGGTATGAAAACTTTGTATTTGATATTTTCAGTGGTTGGCATGAATTGGATCATCTGCCCTATGGGAGAGAGGAATCTGAGTACCCCACTCACCTCCCACTCCCAGCTCTGATGGAAAGGTGAGATCCACCTGAGGATCAATTCCTCCATCAATTTCTCCTCAGCCCAGCTTCACACCCCTCCAAACCATATCAAATACTAAACGCTCCATTTAGCCTTTCACTCTGAGAGGGAAGAAGGTAAATGTTCTGTTTACTTTTTTTTTTTGCAGAGGAAAAGGTTATCAAAACTACCAGAAATGACTTGAAAATTGGTGGGTTCTGCCTTACTGCATGCAGGACTAGGGCAGCTACCAAACAGGGAATCAAGAAAATATGGACAGCCTTAATCCTTAAGGGGAAACCAGCTGATAAGGCTTTTATTTACTGTGGCACATCAATACCAAGCAAGGTACCTGCTGCAGGAACTCTAACTGAGCAAACAGCATTGTAGCAATTACATATTATGAGACTTGGCCAGCAAAAATCCTTTTGGAAGTTGGCAGTGACTCCTGTTATGGGATCTGATCTGTTTTGCACTCGGGGACTTTGTTCTGGGATGTATGAAGAGAGTTCTCCTATAGAAAAAGAGACTGTTTTGGGACCCTAGAACTGGGTTTGATCCACCATATGTCCATACTATAGCCAAGCAGGGATGAGTCCCCTTTCATTTCTCTTCACTGAATACAGCATGTCTTGGGGTATAAGCAATGACATCAACTTCTCCAGCAGTGTCCATGGCATGGCCGTATGTGGTTGCTGAACTTTGGCTGCAGGCAAGACTCAAATCTCCCAACTTCTCTCCATCTCTGTTTGACTTTTCCTTTCTCTCTAACACAACTTGTGCATATCATGTTATACACTGTCATTGGGCTAGAGAGGGCATGGTGTCCAGGACCTCCATGGGATCTGGAGAAGAAGCTGGACTCTTTTGGGGATGATCTACACAATCAGTAGGCCATGGGTATCATGCCATCTCATGCTGGTTTCCCATCATTGCCCCGTCCTTACACACCTCAGGAAAACCTCAGTCCATACTTTGAGGAATGCACACCATCATTTGGGTGCAAACAATCATAAAAATACTTTTTCAAAAGACATTTCCACCCGTGACTCTCAAGAAGTGTCACTAAAGTACCTTCTGGAGGAGGAAAAGGGGATGTCCAAAGTTAGCAGTTTATCCACTGTCAATAGATGAGACAGAAACAAAACATCCTGGATGGGGTCTGCAAAGTGCTCTCTATAGATCACAGAATCAAAGAATGGTTTGGGTTGAAAAGGACCTTAGAGGTCATCTAGTTCCAACCACCTTGTCATGGAAAGGGACACCTTCCATTAGACCAGGTTGCTCAATGCCCCATCTTGGCCATGAAGATGTTTTAAGGCCATAATCATGCACAAATTGCTTTTGCTGCAGGGGACTAGCTGCTGGCTCAGACCTACAGCCTGCTCTGAGCTGCTGGCTCTGCACACAAACGCATGCCTGCTCCAACCCATCTCAGTAACAGAAATACAGGCAGCAAGAGGAAGGCAACATGCTTGAGAACACCTCCCCACATTGACCCCTATTGTTAAACAGTGAAAGCTGTCAGGAAAAGCAAGGTCCACCCTCCTATTTTTTTGTCCAGTGAGGTTGCAATCTGCTGAACACAACATGTCTGAAGGTCCTTCAGCTTCATGGTAAGGTGAGCTTCCATAGGTCTGGTCTTCAGAGACATGGAGCAGTCACAGTCACAGTCACACAGGAGTCACAGTAAGTTGCAAGCGCTCAGCATCCTTGCAAGGATCCATCTCAAACAAGCCTCCCGTTCTGGATGGTTGGGATGGAAACTGGAAAGCAGCACTCTCTCCAGGATGCCTCTCCTGTTTGCAGCATGGCAATTTGTTTTTCCATCAGGCATGCCGTGGTTGGAAGGGTAAGAGCAGTAAGGGTAAGGAAGCAGAATTATACTCTAGGCAAATAAAGCAGCAAGCACCCATGGCTCGTCCTCCCTCTTCCCCTCCACTCAAATTGATGAAAGCATGTTAAGGGAATGTTTTTCAGGGGTGAGGAGCTCCAGAACTGCCAAGGTGTTCTCCACCATTTTGTTATGCCATCCTTCAATGAAGAGCCACGTAGAAACAACCGAGAACTGAACAAAAGAAAGAAAAACGAAGACAAAGCATAGCTGAGCAAGAAGGACAGAGCAGGAGGGAGTCAGGCCTTAAAAACGATGGAACCCTTCAGCTGAGCAGGTTCAAGGCCATCGGTGAAAGCAAGGAGGAAATACATCACCTTGCGGATCTTGGCTAACTCCACGAGCCGCTCCCCAAATTCTTGGGCATCTGCCTCATTGCACTCCACCTCCTTGGCCCCTGGTTTCTTCCAGAAGATGCCCACTGGTTCCAGCAGCTGCCGGTTCATCAGGTGGGTGAGATCAGGAGTCCAGTGCTGGGAGGTGCCAGTCACCATCACCTTCCCAGATCTCTCCAGTTGGATGTCCCAGTGCAGGAAGCGCAGGTTGTGCTGCTGGATGAAATCCACCCTGTAGATGTGCTCGTTGGGATGCAGCAGCTTCTCACCATCCTGGGGCCTGGAGTTTTTCTGCTGCAGGCTCTGGGCTCTCAGACGCATGCACTGGGTGAGCTGGTCATCGTGGATGAAGGGCAGCTTGAGCTCCCCTGCCTCGGCTGCCATCTCCTCCACTGCTCCTCTGCTATGTCCTCAGCAACGTTTGGCTCCCAGATAGGACACGCAGGGGTAAAAATTCTGGTGCACCTTCTCCACGGTCCCAGCGGTGCTAGGCAACCCAGGCCAGTGACGCAAAACACCCTCCAGGGCTTCCTCTGGGTGCCCTCCCATCTCGTTTGCAGATTAGGAACTGATGGTGCTGCTGTGCATGATAATCTATAGGGAAGGGATATCTGATGTCAGCCTCCCTGGCAACCTCCCTGACAACGGCTCCAGCAAGCCAAAGTGCAGCTCGTTATCCCTAAATGAAGGTGCACAGCCAGGGCAACCATCCTGCAGGTGTCGGTGCCAGTGTATTCTCAGAATATTGGTTCGTGGGATCATTCATGTTGGAAGCAGCTTCTGGAGGAGTCTGCTCCAGCTTTCTGCTTGGACTGGGACTTTATGGTTAAACCACGTTGCCTGGAGGTTTGTCTATCCCAACTCTGAGCACCTCTTTGCATGGAGCAGACTGGACCCCAGTATCAGAACATGTTCATGCTGGAGATATTTCTTTTTTTTTTTTCCCCTTTATATCTCATTTCCCATGCTGCTGTTGAATTTTGTCATTTGGTTGTGCTCAAATCTGTCTCTGTCTTGTCTGTACCCTGCCTCCTCCAAACAGCAAAAAGCTCCTCCTTCATCTTCTCCTGGCCACACAAAACCATCTCTCTGGTGTCCGTAGACCCTAAATCTGGACAAATCCCAGATGAGGAGTCACAAGTGCCTGTTGGAGGGGAAGAATAATTTATCTTGCCCTGATGGCTGCACTCATGGCAATTTGGCACCACGTGTGGCTGTTCATCTCTACGAAGTTTCATGTTTGACTCACAGCCAGGACCCCATGTCTTCTGCTGGGTGGCACTGCTGGCAGGAAGCCTTAGTGGGCACCAACAGCTCAGCACAGTCTGCTGCCCTCGAATGGACTGGACTGATGTTGGACAAGGTGCTCATGCATGGACTTCCCTTTTACTCAGTGCTTCTGGGAAATGGGGATGTGGTCTGGGCCTTATGTTTGTCTCTTTGGGCCAGGTGAAGGAGCATTTCCAAGATGCAAGCAAGCTCTTCCAGGTGCTGTAGAGATGCTCTGAGTCCAAGTGAGCACCAATAAGACTGCTATGCCTAACCTGGGGCTGCTCATTTCCTGAAAACTACTGAGTATGGTTATATCCAGAGCATCTGTGCTGCGTTGGTCAGCTCTCCAGGCAGTGGATGGGATAAAAGAGAATGAATGCTCCCTCTTTGCAGGGTGTCTCCAAGAGGCTGTGGATCCCAAACAGAGCTGCCATGTTTAACAATGCACCCCTCTGCCATGCACCATGAAAAGATGGCTAAACCATCATCATGACTTCAGGTGTTCCACGGAAAAGGCCTGACTCCTTCAAGCACGCTGTGCCATCCTTAGGATAGAGCCACTGGTTTGGACTGTCAGAGAGCCCATGGATTTCAGCATTAACTTTTATGTGGCACATTGTATGCAGTTAGGTTGTATGCTGTTATGGTGATTCCATGATTCTATCGTTAGGTTCTTTGCTTCTCTCTGTCCTATCTGTGACTCATGCTGGCTTCTGTCACATCACATTTCTGCAGAGAACTTTGAGAGCTCCAGCTGTGTTAAATAAAATCCAGGAAAGAGTTTTCTAAAGTATTTTTACAAAAGGCACTGCTATCACTTGGGCTATGCCACACAACTCAGTGAGCATGATCCCTGGAGGTTTTAATTTGGTCTTCTATAAGAAGTCTCCAAAAAAGACCATCAGAAGACATCAGGAGCCCAAGGTGGGTCACTGCACCGGGAACTGCCCTGTACTCACCTGTCTGATATGTCTGCTCCTAAAGACGCTATGAGCAGAGTCAAATAAGCTATAGGGCCACACATAGCCCCATTTGAAGGGATTAAAGAGAAGTTTGAGGAAACCAGACCCTTCTTGATGTCCTCTGAGCTCTTGCTTTGCTTGTTCGCTAGCTTTTAAACACCTTCAGCAACAAATGACATATCAACTCTTGGGTTTTAAAGTAAAGATACCTTCAGGAAACCCTGGAGACCTGGTTACAGATCCAGATTACCCTTCAGGACAAAGTGCTACTGGAAATGACTTAATCCCCTCCATAATCCAATGTCTTTATTTCTTTTCAGTAGAGCTAGACATCTCAGAAGGGCCACAAAACAGAATTTTACAGAGCCAGTCTAAAACCACATAGGGCCAGACAAGACTTAAGATATTAGGAAACTGCTCTCAATTTTCTTCCAGTCCCTTGTTCCTACCCATTTTTTTCTAGGAGCAATGGGAGAGCTGGACCAAGATCCCTGTGCTGATATTTCAGTGATATTAACACCTGCACCAGCATCTTTTAATTCTTCCCAGACTTCAAATCAGAGACATTCTGGTGTCTAATGACAGTTCAGTGTTTTGCTGTCTTGCCTGTCCTATCAGCTGTTGCTTTTATTGGTGTATGGATGGGTCAGGAGCAGACAATAGCATTGCAGGGTCCTGGGTGTGCAGATGCTGTAATGCCATTGAGCCACCAACAAACATTCTGGGCATGGGGAGAGGACTGCAACTTTAGCTTTTGCTGTAAAACAAACCTTTCTGAAAGACATAAGGATGCAAAGATGCAGATAAAGAACATAAAGCTCTGAGAGTTAAGCGTATGGAAAATGAGAAGTCACAAACACCTATAGCAAAATTGCCAAGGGAGGAAAAGCAATGCCATTGGTAAACTGAAATAATGAGGTGTCCAAAGAGACCTGGCTTCTGTTTGGTTGACATCTCCCAGGGCAGGGCTGGAGGTGAATGGTGAAGAGGGAGGAGAACTTGCCTTGGGGAGATGACGATGCAGAGGAACAGTTTAAATAACACCTTACACCACGCCTCTAACAACAGCCACAAGCTACAGAAGTAGGAGGAAATCTTATTGCTTAACCAGAAGCCAACAAAACCTACCTTGTTCACATGTGCTGGAAAGACTTGATTTTAAAAGAAAATAAAAGACAAATTCCCGTGGTGGAGCTCAGTGTTTATGACCACAGTAGTAGAGACTGGAGGGATCTCAGCACACAGAGCAAGGAAGGAATACTGCTCTGCTGCAGTAGGGCTGTGGGTGAAGTGGGCAATGCTGCCAACACTACGGGGCTTTGGTGTCTGCCTTTTCACATTAAAATCTAGATAAAGGCACTTGCAACTTGTTGGCCCCTTGTCCTAGACACCTGTACCAGACTGAAGACCACAGCTGCACTGGCTTTCATAGGCTTGAATTCTTCTCCTAAGGAGGACATGGTAAAAACGGCCACAGGCTGGCAAAGGATGCGGCACCTCATACCTCCTGTCCCTTCACACTGCTCAGGCTCTGCCCCCTACTCTGCAGCTCCTCGGTGCCCTCCTGCTCTGTGACAGTGCAACCACGATGCCCTTGGACCCCAATCTTATGGAAATCCCACTGTGCGGAGCAAACCATCCATGGGACATGCCAGGGATGCGTGTTTGAGGAGCAGTGGCTTGGGAGGCACGCTAATATCCTTAGATCATCCTACTGCCCATGTGCAAGGTGTCTTATAGCCAAGGTGAGAACACACTGGGCAGCCAGAGAGGTAATACCACGGGAAACAGAGACTTTCAGCACTGCAGTTGAGCATCCTGAACATATATATATATTTGTATATGGTTATTCTGGAGTGGGGAGGGTCAGATTTGGGATGTGGAAGGACAGAGCAGGGCTTGATCCTTGTGGTTATGGAGAAACTCGCCAAGAGTTTGGCTCAAATGCGATGTGGCTGTAATCACAACAATTCCTCTCAAAGAACATTGTTTTTTTTAAGAGAGGTTTTCCACATGAACAGCTTTTCAGGACTGAAGCATTTCTGAAGATCCAGCATCTGAGCCAGGCAAACAAAGCACGAGGTGTCGAAGAGAAGCTTACCTTCTGCCACAGGGCCTCGCGGGATGCCAGGGAGGAGCAGGCAGCCACAAACCAGCAGTTCCCAACCTGGCCCTGGTGTAAATCATGGGAACTGATCCCGTCCACAAAGAGATGGGGATCGGCACAGATTTCCTGTGAGACAGGAGAAAATAAACACAGTGAGTGAGGAGGCGGGGAAATACAAAGCAAGGCTACCTGGCAGAGGAAAATCACTTTCTCTGCTCCTCAGGTTCCCTTTAAATCCCACTTGCAGCTTTGTGCTGGCCTGGCTCATCACACTGGTAGCAGGAGGACCTTGTCCTGCCTTATGCTCTCCCCAGGACATGACCACGTTGCTGCTGAAGTGATGCCAGATCCTCTCCCTGAAGGATGGCTATTCTGTTCCAGCATCAGCACATCTCTGCTATCATTATCCATGGTGATAATGGTACATTTTCACATCACTACAGCCCTAGTGACCATCTCCTCCTGTAAGTCTACCCTTTGCCTTTTCTGCAAGCCCTTCAGTTCTGACAAAACTGTTTATCAAGCTTCTCCCTCTCACTTTGCTCTGGGGACCTTGTGATGGAAAGGCATTTGGTGCTGAGAGTATCACAGAATCATAGCATGGCTTGGGTTGAATGTGACCCTAAAGCCCATCCAGATCCTAGGCTCTTACCCAGCCTGGCCTTGGGCATTTCCATGGACACTAAGTGTCTTCATCCAAGAGGCTCACTGTTCTCCAGCAGATGGTGAAATGCTGGTAATCCAAAAGCTTTGTGAAACGTGAAATACTGCAGGTTTTGTTGTTGTTCTTCTTTTTTTGTGGTTTTTTGTGTTTTTTTTTTTGTGGCCTGATCAGTCCAGTTTGGAAGGCTAAGACCAGTTGGAGGCTGAAAGTGGATGGGGCAGAGAAAGAGTCGAAAGAAACTTTTTTGCTTTGCTATTCTATCTAATTTAAAGGAGTGAAAGACAAAGCAGATCTCCTTTCTCTATGCCCCTTAATTTTTCAGGTTATTTACATCCAAAGTAACACATTCCCCAGCCTCTGCACATCAGGACTTGCATTGCTTGTTCCTCATGGGGAGGAATTGCTGCTTCATAAGCATACCAGGACAGATGCCCCATCCCTGGGGACATTCCAGGTGAGGCTGGACAGGCCTCTGAGCACCTGATGGAGCTGTAGGACTCCCTGTTTGCCGCAGGCAAGTTGATTAGATGGCCTTTAAGAGTCCCTTCCAGCCCAAACGATTCCCTTGTTCTATGATTTTATGATCTCCCTTTAATCCCATCTAACTCAGCCAGCACTGCACACCTTATAAACAACATGAGATTCATCTGGATAAAACTGTGTAAATTGGGCAGCGATCGAACCAACAGGAGAGGGCTGATTCACTCCTGGCTGCCAGTGTTGCAGGAGGTTGGAATAAACACTAGAGGGAGGCAATCTGACAGCTGCCAACAGCACCTGATCTTTTCAGCATCCCTTAGTGCCGAGAGGGATGGAAGAGGAGCAGTGCTATTTAATAGCAGGATAATAGGGGTTATCCTATTTCACACCATCAAGGAAGCAGCCAAAAGCTTGTGATGCATCTGTCCTGGCTGTCAGTGATGGGGATGATCAACTCATAGTGGTCCTGCTCTGGGCTCAGAGGCACTATGGCTGAGGACCTTTGCAGCTCTTTCTACCCTTGGGTGAATCCATAGTGCCCAAAAATGAACTCACTTGGTTTGCGGTAAGTCAGAAGGTGAAATCATGGAAGCACATTATACTTGGCAGAAATTAGGGTATAGGGTGTTGGGTGATTTCCTCATCACCAAGCAAGTGTCTATGAATTAAAACCGTTTGATTGCTCATTTTAAGACAGGGAAGCCCTGTGTTTTCATCAGAGAAGCAGCCTGTCCTGGTACATAAGAGGAGATTAGTGCATTACTCTCAACTCTCTCAAAACCACAACAGCACCAAGGGTGCCAAGGCTAGAAATGCTCATGTCTGGAAATGCAGAGTCCCTCTGCAAAGCACACATTTCATTTACAGAATCTTAGGATCATAAAGGGTGGAAAAAAACCTCTAAGACCATCTAGACCAACTGTCCACCTAGCACCAATATTGCCCACTAAACCACGTCCCTAAGTGCCATGTCTCCACAGTTCCTGAACGCCTCCAGGAACAGTGACTGCCACCTCTCTGGGCAGCCTGTTCCAATATTCAAACACTCCTTCAAAGCTTTTCCTAAGATCCAACCTTTGACTCAGCTTCTCTTCCCACTGTTGCAGAAGGTCCCTAGGGGCACATTGTTCTCAAAGTCATTCAGGCAGTTCTTCAGATGCTGCAGTAGGCGTTTCCCATTTAGGTGCAAACTTGGATGTGGCATTTCAAGGTGCTTTTGGTCCAGGGCGGTTATGGCTGAGAGCACATCCTTGCTCTATACCCTAGCAGCACATGGATTTTTCAACCTCCTTCCCTAATAATATGCAAAACCTCACAGCAGATTACAGCTAAATTGCAAATCTCCTAGGATCGTGAATGCCCCTAAATGCCACAAACCTCTAGATGTGCCTGGACAGCACTGTGAGCTCTGCACACAACTTGGACAAGTCCCATAATATTCAGCAAGCCTTGACAGGAGTCCACCTGGAAGGGCAGAGAGAGGCTGCCATGCTGCAAAAGGATAACACAGCATCATCATCCCCAGGATGAAGCTTGGTCCAGGTGGCCTCCCAGTGGACAAACACAAACACAGAATCACTCAATGAGTGCAGTTAGAAGGGACTTCCAGAGAGCATCCAACCTGACCCATCTACTCCAAGTAAGATCAGGTGGAGCAGGTCACTTAGGACTGTGGCCAGTTTGGTTTTGAGTATCTTCATGGATAGAAACTCTACAATCACTCTGGGCAACCTATGCCAGTGCTTAAGCTACCCACAGTGAAAAAGTGTTTTTCTCATGTTTAAATATAATTATTTTTTCCATTATTTGTTCAGTGCCTCTTGTCCCATCACTGGGCACCAGTGAGAAGAGTCTGACTTGGTCTTTTTCATTCCCTACCATCCCTATGCACATTCATAGAATCCAATAGCATCACCTCAAGTCCAACCACCAACCTCTGCCTATGGACCACATCCCTCAGTGTAACATCCACCCTTTTCTTGAACACCTCCAGTGATGGTAACTCCACCACTTCCCTGGGCACCCTTTGCCAATGCATTACCACTCTTTCCAAGAAGAAAGTTTTCCTAATATTCACACTATTGGAGTCCCTTTGAGCCTTGTTTGCTCAAGGATGAAGAGTCTCACACATTTTGACCTCCTCTGTTGTGCCACATGCTCCAGACTTTTCAAAATATTAAGGAAGAAAGGAAGAAAGGAAGAAAGGAAGAAAGGAAGAAAGGAAGAAAGGAAGAAAGGAAGAAAGGAAGAAAGGAAGAAAGGAAGAAAGGAAGAAAGGAAGAAAGGAAGAAAGGAAGAAAGGAAGAAAGGAAGAAAGGAAGAAAGGAAGAAAGGAAGAAAGGAAGAAAGGAAGAAAGGAAGAAAGGAAGAAAGGAAGAAAGGAATCTGCTCCTCCTGGAGACAGGTTGAATGAGAAGGGCCTGGAGTTTGTATGTGCAGGGGAAGGAGGGAAGCAAGAATGCTCTTATTGCGGGAGGTCACAACCTTGGTTTCATTCCATTCATTCAACAGGGCCAGTTGGACAAACATTGAATCACCCTCCCAGCACCGTGACCCTGAAAGGAAAGGGCAGCACACAACCACACACATCCACACACTCTGGGGCTTTCTGGGTTCAAACACTGGACATTTCAGCTAGCTCAACCCACACGCTCTCTTCAGCAAATGCCTAGTTTCTGCTCTTCATCTCATAGCAGATGGCTCCTGGGTCACAACTGCTCTTCATCTGGATATGGGTGCTGGACAACAGGGAATGTGGAAGGGACAACCTAAAGCTATGGCTGCAGGAGATATAGTTTTGATGCACTGCTCTTGACTCCACCTCATCCATTTTTACCCCTCTTGGCTGAGCTTTTTTCAGTGGTGGTATGGGCTTGCAAGGCTGAGTGCTTGCACTGCCTTTAAATTAAATTCTTCATAACTACAACAATGGACAAGGGAAGAGCCACTGGTGTCATCTCTCTAGACTTCAGAAAGGCCTTTCACGTGGTCCCTCACAACATCCTTCTATCCAAATTGGAAAGATATGGATTTGATGGGTTGGCTGTTTGATGGATGAGAAACTGGTTGTGAGATCGCTCCTAGAGAGTGGTGATCAATGGCTCAAGGTCCAGATGGAGACTGGTGATAAGAGGCATCCCTCAGAGGTCAGTACTGGGATAAATGTTGTTTAGCATCTCCATCAGTGACGTAAACAGTGGGATCGAGTGCCCCCTCAGCAGTTTGCAGATGATACCAAGCTGTGTGGTGCAGTCAACCAGATGGCCTTTAAAGGTCCCTTCCAACTCACATGGTTCTATGATTCTATGATAAGAAGAACTTGGCTTGGAGCATCCCTAGGGAACCTAGGCAGTGTTAGAGCTATTTACCCTCCCTAAAATGGGCTGCTGAAATGGCCACTGAACTGCAGGTAATTAACTATGACTTGGAGAAAGCAGGTGCAGATGGTCCCATGGAAAGATATAGCCTGATAACAAAGGGAGGGGCAAAGTGATTCAAATTTCTTGTGATTCATATCCTGCTTTCTATATTCTTCCTCCTGCAATGGGTGTAGGGTAGAGGTGGACAGCAGTGACAGCGGATGGAGAGGGCTTTGAGGGCCCTGCTGATGAAAGGCTGATGGCAGAGATAGCAGCACTGGCTTATAGGAGTCCAGAATGGGTCTGTGCCAGTTTGCTTCCTATGAGCTTGGATTACTGAAATCCATTAGGAAAAAGAAGACCTGATCATTGCATTTATCTTGTACTTGATGGTTTAATGTTTCCTCCCACCAAAAAGCATGTGGGCTTTCCCTCTTCTCTCACCTTTAGCACTATTTCCCTCAACAGGTACATTTTCCTTCCAGATGCAATTAAACAAGAAAATATCATCCTTGTCTCCAGCTGGTCCAATTCCACATAGGGCAGCAGGGAGCAAATCACCTTCTAATTGGCTTTATAATTGGCAACTGTCTTATCATAAATGTTCCCCGGTGCAGATTTCT